TCAACGATCGTGATTGGAGGGTATTCACTGGTACCGTCAGCTTGATTAAGCACATTTATCCTTGGAAAATGGGAATGGATAAAGATTTCCACATAAGAAGGGACAGGAGAGAGAGAATGAGATGAAGTGGAAGACCCAGATGGTAAAACTCAATTTGTAAGAAAGAGAGATCAGCTTTGATACCATGTAAATTTTCAGAACAGTATCATTTGGTAAGTGTTGTTTCATGGATGAAGAGCATTTATGTAATAGAGAAATTTTCCCTTGGGGCGGAACTTGATGTAAGTAGGATATAAAAATTGGTTACAAATATAAACTACACGTAATCTATCATCATAGCGTTCGAAAGTAAAGAGAGAAAGACTGAGTATGGTAATCATGAACTTATGGACAATTCTATTATATAATTTAATGTCATATTCATATAGTCCAACACATCAAAACTTGTATACACAAAAGTTGTTAGTGCACTTAATAGATAAAAAAAAGGAAGAAAGATACTTCAAAAGAATTTTCTAGTTTCAACATGAGTTACTTATCTTTAATCTACTAAAGATTACAGATTTAGGAAGATTTGCATAAACTGACTCAAACACTCTCTAACTACGCACAAAAATAAAAGATTCACTCACGACATAGTTTGACTACATTTAGCATGATATTGGAACCCGACAACCACATAAACTTAGAACTCTGTCCTACAAAATCGATGATGTCCAAGCATTAAATTGTCATGCTTTGGATTTAAATTCAATTTCAACACGCCAGTGCACAACCTAACAGAGGGAAGAGAATAATAGCTCATCCATCTAAAGCTTATATAACATTTTGATAAGTAAACCAGTCCAATGTTCTACAGACCATTTGGTCAAAAAGTATTAGTAGGACTTCCTCACTATTTGGTCAAAAAGTATTAGTAGGACTTCTCACTATTTGGTCAAAAAGTAACTATTGTCGAGTAATGCAGAAACTGTAGTTCTACCATTAAATTGCGGTTGAGTTGGAGTTGGCTAGAATCCAATTTTTTATACTTCTTTTTCTAATTCCAATAAAATTTTGGATTCTTGCCAACTACATACTTCTTTTTCTAATTCCAATAAAAAATATATAATAATTAGTCTGGATCAAGATTGTCGGCTATCTTAGCAATTAATCTAAGCTAAAAATTTGAAAGGCATATGATAAAGATAGAAAAAGAAACAGATGGGAAACCCAAAGCGCTCAGAAGTCTGACCTGAAACTTGGTGGACGAGGCAAATTTGGGTTGCGAGTTAACTCAGTCCCCAGAAAGAATCCAACACGACATAACCAAACACCACTAAAGTCTCCAAATCCGATTACTTCAACAAATAGCCACACAAATCTACAGAACCCAACATCTCCTTGCCTCTCTCTCTCTCTCTCTCTCTCTCAAATGGAAGACCAACAAGGACAAACTCGGGAACCAGAAATCCACTACTGGGGAAACATGCCAGAGGAAGAGTACTACAAGCTGAAAGGCATAGAAGGGTCAAAATCATTCTACACGTCGCCAAGAGGCCTAAGTCTGTTCACAAGATCATGGCTCCCCATATCTTCCTCTCCACGTGGCCTACTCTTTATGGTTCATGGATACGGGAATGACATGAACTGGACTTTTCAGTCAACGGCAATCTTCCTCGCCCAAATGGGTTTCGCTTGCTTCGCGCTCGACATGGAAGGCCATGGCCAATCTCAAGGGCTGAGGTGTTACGTACCCAACATCGATCTCGTCGTGCAGGATTATCTCTCTTTCTTCAATGTCACCAAACAGAACCCAAGATTTCATGGGTTGCCCTGTTTTCTCTACGGAGAGTCAATGGGCGGGGCGATCTGTCTTCTCATCCATTTTGCTGATCCAAAAGGGTTTAACGGAGCAATTTTGGTTGCACCCATGTGTAAAATCTCTGATAATGTAAAACCCAGATGGCCGATTCCTCAGGTTTTAACATTTATAGCAAGATTTTTACCTACTCTGGCTATTGTACCGACGGAAGATCTGTTATATAAATCCATCAAAGTTGAATCAAAGAAGCAGATAGGGGAGATGAACCCGCTGAGATACAGAGGGAAACCGCGATTAGGGACTGTTGTTGAGCTGCTGAGGGTGACTGATTTCTTGGGAAGAAGGCTTTGCGATGTTGAGATACCATTTTTGGTATTACATGGAAGTGCAGATGTTGTTACTGATCCAAACGTGAGCAGAGCTTTGTATGAGAACGCTAAGAGCCAAGCCAAGAGTATAAAGATCTATGAGGGTATGATGCATTCTCTGCTGTTTGGTGAAACTGATGAAAACATTGAAATTGTTCGTGGAGATATTCTGAATTGGTTGAATGATAGATGTAAATGATCGCTGCTTATTCTCATTGATAATTGATATTATGTTTGATTAGTTCATTGTCTTCATTGAACTGTTCATGAAAACCACATTACACTGCATTATTTATACTACTGTTTTATAGCCTGTTCGAAGAAATACCAGATAATGAAAAGGATCAAGGATGCCTGTTTGAAGAAATACCAGATAATGTGAAGTACCAAAGAAATTCTTTTAAGGGTTATGTTGGATCCGAGTTCATTCTCTAACATATGGCTGAAACTTGGAAGTTCTACTTACCAGTTATTTTCTGTGCATGAATGTTTCCAATCTTCAAGAAACAGAGAATCCTGCAAAGAAGATAACAAAAATGCGTAGACAAAAACCGTCAGAACTAAAAAGTTTTTTAGGTTTAATTGTTAATTACAGTACAAGATTCACTTTTTGTTCCAGCCCTTCTCGGTTTTCCTCTCCTTTCTTCTTTTCGAGTTTCTATTCCTTTACTCATTGTGTTCTGTTTCCTGTGGTCCTTATATTCTTCTCAAGGACAGATTACACAAATGCATATATCAACAACACAACAGATTACACAAGTGCATATATCAACACCACATTTGAGTCTTCAAACTCTTTACAGTACCATAAGTAAAAGCAAAAGTAAAAAAGGAAGCGCACATTTGGCGATATTCATCCATCTATAGTTTTTTTCAAACAATACTCATTAGTAACTCTGAATTTTGAATGTTGTAAAAAACAAGATATTATAAAAGAAGGAAAATTCTATCATTTACACTTCCAAAAGAAAAAAGAATCTAATCAGAAACTTTCCTATACTATGGTATAGACTACTAACTAACCTCTACATCCTATACAATATAACCAGCCAGAAATGAGTTCAAAAAGAGAGAGAGAGAGTGAAGGTCTACTGTTAGACAAAAATATCAAAACGAACAAAAAATTTGATCCTGTAGATTCTTCTGTGATATTCACAAAATGTTGTCAAAAGAGTCTCCCTCAAAAACTATGGTCAAGTAAGGCTTCAACTTCAGCTACTCCAGCAGCAGCAACAATTGCAGCTACCTGGAAAAAGGACCTGTATTTGTATCTGAGTTAGATCTGGCGAATCTTGTAATATACTCCTATCACACCATAAACAGGTATTTCAAGTCGTCCACTGTCAGGCGAGACTGGCGACCACCAGTTTCATCCTCTCCAAATGCAGATGCCACCATCTCTCTCTTCTTTTGCTGATTTAAGGGCAAAAAAGAGGACATTCATTTCATAAATTTCACGCCAAAGAAACTTTCAAAATCTCAAGGCTAACATCCAAAATCTCAATAACCTGCCAAACATGTCATTCCAAAGCAGTGTGCCTTTATCTGGAAAAATTTACCGACTTTCTGACCCAACCCAATTATCTTAGGCGTCCTAACATCTAGTAGGCTATAGCAAACTGAGTTAGACCTGACCTATGCTTCACTAGGATGGATTATTTAATGTCCAAGACCACAGAAATCCATTGTTCTACAGAAGCATTTAATTGTGATAGCAGAAGGTTGACCCAAGTCAACCTCTAATCCACATTATGTTCATATTGCATCCAGTTAAACAATTGGCATGATCCTTGGCATTGGCTGATACCTAAATCCATCTCCTCCCAATAGCATTAAAATATAACACAAGCAAATTTTACATTCCACCCAAAATTTTGACGACATGACCAATCAGTATCTAACTAGACTGGCACAATATCGATAATTAACACGTAAACTAGCATAATTTCAACAATTATTACATCTAACCACAAGATTTGATCAAAAAATCCAAAATTTTCCAAAATGCCAAGTAGAGACATGCCTACAACATCTATATTGACTATCTATCATTAAAGGTAATCTGAGCCCAGAATCTAGCAAACAGGTACATAAGTTAACAGGACAAAATAAATAGAAAATAAACAAACTATAAGCAGGGAGAAAATATTTCATTTAGCTGAGAAGCTGCACCTGAAGGGCTAAAATACGATCTTCCACTGTATCTTTAACTGTCAGACGCAAAACTGTTACAGGACGTGTCTGCCCAATACGATGTGCTCTATCAATTGCTTGATCCTCAGTCGTGGGGTTCCACCACAGGTCCAATAGAAGAACATGACAAGCTGCAACCATGTTCAGTCCGAGACTAGCAGCTTTCAGAGACATAATCATAACAGACACCTAAGGCAAAAGAAACTATATTTCATCAATATATTCCCCACAAACACCAATACAACACCCTAAGTAAAGATGTAGAATATTAACTATACATCAAAAATTTATTTAAAGAGACATGAATCTAATAAACCTCAGGCAGGGTGTTGAAATCCTTGACAGCTCTGTCTCTGGCAATGACTGACATTGTTCCATCAAGCCTTCTATACTGAATAGAAGAATTTTTAAGACAAGCTTCAAGTAAATCCAACATCCGTGTCCACTGGGAAAACACTATGGCCTTCTCTCCAACTATCTTAGTTAATGCATCTACCTCTTTGTTTACATTCAATTTTTTTGTATCAGAAATATCTTTTAGTGGAGCCCCTGCATTACATTCAGATGAATTTTCAGGACATACATCATTTACATTGAAATCCTGTAAGGAATTACTTGGCGGTATATGATTCTGTGGTCTGGCCAGTGACTGCAAGACCTCAAGAGCAGCCTTAATCTTGGAAGAATCATATGAACCACCCTCAAAAGAAGGTTCAACTGTCTCCACAAGTTCAGAACCAGAATAATCCTGCCCAGGCATCTCAGACAGAGAACTCTTTAACGTGGCTTTTGGAAACACTGAAGACATATTAAGTCGATTTTTACAGCTTGTATCAGGGCACTGATTGTCATCACCAGTAAGATGTTCACAAATGCATTGTTTGCAGAAAACATGACCACAGACTGAAACAACAGCATCTTCAGGTGGATCCTTTTGGGGGAGAGCAGAAAAAAAATATATATTGTCAGAGTTGCTAAAGATACTTGCTCACCCAACTATTACCAGAAAGCTGATGACAGGGGGGAGGGAAAAAAAATAAAGGAACTCATGCAAGAATTCAGAACACTAATTTTGCACAATAAGACTCAGTTCTTGCCTTCTATAAAGGAAATCAGTTGAACCGATTATGCAACCTAATCAAGTGTATAATCACATCTCAAATAATTGATTGCCTTAATTTTATACCAACGTTCAGGAATAGTAACTTTTTCAATTTAGGCCTCTGCATTATTCTGAGATCAGGAAAGATTTTGTAAATATTATTGCAAGGAAATTTCAGAATTTCTTATGACTAGATATATTAGAGATTTCTTGGATTTAAAGTCAAGTTACTAAAAATTTTTATTTATTTTCCTCTGCAAATAGTCTAGTTTATATGCCAGCCAAGCCATTATCAGCCAAAAATTCAATTTGAGGTTAGCAAGATATCATCACTATCACCATAACTACCATCACTACAATTTAACTCACAGAATACAACCTATAGCACAGGCCAAAACCTGCATCTCCAAATCATTTTCACTGGGAACACAAAGCATAAATCAAGTCTAAAATTCAAAGCTGAAAAATAATTGGATTTTTAATCACCAGGAGCAGAACTAAGAAGTATCAACAATGCTATGAGACCCTAACATCTGAAGTTTATATAAATAATAACTGTCAAGCATGCCAAGACTACAAACTCTTTTTAATCAAATGAACTTTTAATCAAAAAACTGAGAAACAATATCCTAGAGTCCCCATTCTTGCAATCTTGATTGATGGGTGATCTTCTCTAACCAGAAAGCTTATATCACAAATTAACATACAATATGTATGAGATAGAAATAACACTAGACCATCAATGAGATCATTAAAGTAAAAGAATAACAAAAATAGCTACATACATTACAGATGCCACAAATTGCCAAAGAAGCTTCCAAGCATTGCAGAAGATACACTTGTTTCTCATGAGAAAGCTTCTTTGCACTCTCAACTGAGGGCCTCCATACTGAAACTGAATCATAGCCCTTCACAAGAAGCGGGTGATCACATGCTTGACGAAGGCGCAAGAGCATCAACAAAATATTAACGTAATTTTGTTTTACAGTTCCAGCATCAGCATATTCCTGATAGCAGCACAATAATTACACACTTATAGAGTCAGGTATTATACAAAGCAATATGCATGTGCCTACTACCACCACATCTTTTGAGATTGTACCAAACTTGAGTGGTAAAAACTTCTAAAAAGAAATGCACAACACAAAAGAAATATAAATAATATAAAAAAAATAAACTGGCACAATTATGACAGTAAAAGCATACTTTAAACTGATCACGTGAATCATTCTCCAATCTAGAGTAGAAATCCCGTTCCTCCTTAGTGAAATCCACTTTTTTCAACTCCACCACCTTAGGTGGTAAGGAAATAATCGGTTCCCCATCAAGAAGGGTGCCTAACAGTTCATATTGACATAGGATAAAATCAACAAACTTGAGGTACATTAAATATAAAATGCATTTACCATATAAATGGAATGATCAGCAAAAACTTACGATTATGTTTATAGTGTTCCTTTATTTCAAAAAAAAATGTTTACAGCATTCCTATTTGAAAATAATGCACAACTATTCATGGTCTAACCTTTGGTACGCCGTAGCATCACAGTCTTTAGGACAGCTTGTAGCTTTTTGTACCCTTTTGTCGGATTCCTAGTAATAGGAACTTTAATAGTGGAACAAAATGACTTATATCCAGCATAAAGGGTCATATCTAAGAAATCTGAAATAGCTATAAAGATCATCAATGGCATTCTGAATAGGAGTACCGGGATAGGCACCATCTACGTTTTGCCCGAAGGCCCCAACAGGCCCTAGCAACTTGAGTTCTGTGATTCTTGATGCTTTGAGCCTCGTCCAAAACAACCCTGAACCATCCCACCTTTGCAAGAGGCCGAGCTATAGACTCCATCAGTGCAGTATCAACTCCTTTCTTGTGCTTGGAGCACCTTCTATCAGAACTAGGAGGATATTTTCTTTTCCGATTTGAAGAAGAACCCATGAGTGCAGCACTTTCACCTTCTAGCTTTTCTTTCTCGCCTTCATCCCCATCAGCAAGAGGTTGCTTTGGAACCTCCATGCTCACAATTGAATATGTTGTAAGGACAACATCATACTTGGCCAACTGACAGGGATCTTTTGTTCGATTGGACCCATGATATACTAGAACTGAGAGATTAGCTTTGGTTGTCACCTTGTCCTGTAACTCCTCAGCCCATTGCCGCAGTACACTCGTGGGACAAACAATAAGGGTTCCTGCAGCTGGCCTTCCCTTTCCTTGCCCCATAAAATTTCCTTCTGGTGCACTTCCATTTGGCTTGTTAATTTGAGAGCAACCAGATTCTTGTTTTGTTTCATTAAGCTCAGATGTTCCACAACCGCCATCATCATCATCGTCCAAGTTTAAAGTTTCCAATTCACCTTTCCTAGCATCTCTTGGAAATGCTTTAAAAGATGGAGGCCTTTCCTTAAGTATAAGTGCAATTGTTGAAACTGTTTTTCCCAATCCCTGCAGGAGATGATTGCAATGGATCCAAAAGAAATCAAACAAATTGTTAAAAGTTTATTATCAAACAAGGAATGGAGACCATAGGCAAAAAAACCTGATCATCTGCAAGAATTCCTCCTGAACAGTGTAACCCAGTCTCCTTTTGGACCATCCATGCCAACGCAATTCGCTGTCCAGGAATTAATTGACAGTTATCAGGAATGGTGACAAAAATAAACCTTCAACCAAATGTCTGAAGTTCATCTCCATCATTATTTTTACAGAAGCAACCACTTGATTTCCCAAAGTTAACTAAAACTTATATGTCAGTCCATGAACATTACTTTCATCTAAATCAATGTGATTCTGAACAGTAAGATGCAAGGAGACAAATATGTAAAAAGCAAGTATCCAACTATGCTTCTATTGGAAATTATTCTACCGCAGCTTTATCCATGATATTCAAACAAAACTAGCCAGTACAGGTGCCAAAATCCAGGTAACTCATTCAGATGCCAGTCTAAAGCAGAAGAAAAGTTCCCTAAATTTCCATCAGGGAACAACTTAATCTCTTCTCTTAAAACTGATCATTCCTTAGGATTATTTACCAACTCTAATACAACTTATGAAAATCTAAAGTTTCAACAACTGAAGTTTTCATTTTAATCAAAAGGGAGAAGAAAAGAAACCTGATGCCTCAAGAGAGGTACAGCTAAAACACCATCAGGCGGTCTTGCTTCTGACTTTGGCTGAGAAAGATCCTGTAACACAGGTAGACAAGTCTTCTTAGGACATCATATTCAATTAGAGATTCATAAAACAATTTACTTGCTATAAAACAAGTCATCATTAAGAAAGTCTAGCAGCATTATGCATGGTGTTCTCAAAATAAAGACCACTTGTACCCCAAAATGTGAAAACAAGCAGGTCTACCACTTACTTGGTTCAATTACTAGCCAAAGCCCACATCCTTTATGATCATGATGATTAAGTAATATATTGGAGAAAGAAGGAAAATTTCCAATAAAACCAAAAAAGGAAACAATAAAAAATTGAAGGACGAGACATGAAACACATGAACAATACAGACAGAAAAGTTAAGGTAACAAAAGACAGTTCAATTAGGATGAATGCTCAGATAGGCAAATACTCAACCTTTTTACGTATACACATACAAAATGTTGGTGAGCCTACTTGTTGTACAGGGTAATATTGTTTCTAAACTCTTGCAAGATAAAGCTGCAACACTCTTAAGCATTACTGGGAATGCACTTCGATGCAGTTACGCACAGCATAAAGAACAGCACTGACATCAGTACGGAACTGCTTGACCTTTACGACTAATAAATCCAAAGCAACATGTACTCAATTACCTCCATTGAAACTCTAACAAACTTGGAAACTTTTTATCAGATCAAAAGTTAAAATGACATAACAGAACTTCTAAGTTAAAATGTCAGCATAGCAGCATCAATTTGGTTGCACAAAGATAAAGAAGAGTAACTTTCACACGCTTCATGGTGCTAGCATATGTCACAAAATTGTCAAAGAATCATAACTCTATATCCCACCACCAACCTGCAATGCAGCTCGAAAGATCAACCGCTCATCATTGGCCTTAAGCCTCAGACCTCCACCTCCAGAGAAAGGAATAGAATCATTTAACACAGATTGATGCGGAGTAATACAGGTTCTTGTCAGCACTACAGCCTGATTGGTTTGCACAGTTTGACTGACATCTTCAATAATACATACATCAGGGTCACCATCAGTGCGAAATCTGCAGTCTAACGACTTGTTTAGAGTAGAATCTGGGCTGACATTGGAAAGGTGAAAATCGACACCCTTAAACTGTAGCTTTTTATCATCTCTCTTCTCTGTTGCATACCCTACCTGATTGCTAGACTCATCAACAGGCAAATACTGCTCCGAGGCATAAGTATTCACATGTCTACTATCAACCAAGGACCTACTAAAATTTTCATCAACAATATCCTGAAAATGTGAAGCTCTCTCACATAAAGTCATCATGTTTACTTTCTCATCCTGTGCATGAAGCATGGGCATCTGACTAGAAAAAGAAGAAAGAATACCAGGCAAAGGCTGCTTTGAGTCCTCAGCAACAAATAATTTGCCATGCGCATTGTAATATGACCTTGTACCAATAGTTTCATCAATCATGTCAAGAGAATGGCTTCCCCCATTGAACTGGTGGTTATAACTGAACTGCTGAGGTAATGCTTTGTCCTCAGCAAATCTATCAGCAGCAAACAAAGAATTACCATATATAGATGAAGCATGACTAGCACCTGCACATCTGAAATTCAGTCCCTTTACATCAGGGTAATCATCCACTGACACCTCTGACATAGATGTCATAATTCTTCTCTCATGAGCATTCAAACTCATTCTAGTATCAGAGCAGGGATTCTCTGCTGGAAACTCACCTATTGTACCCCTCATGTTACTGATGATACCTCCATTAATTGAAAAAGGATGAAAATTAGGATTATTGGACGTGTGGAAATTTGAAGAATCAGTATTAAGGCAAGATGATATTGATGAATAATGGTTAAAATCATGATTGAGATCATAATTCTGACAGATGGTAGACGCAGTAGAGCTAACATTTGCCAAAGACATATCTGCACCCACCAATGAAGTCTCCAGGATTCCAGGAAAAGAATTTTGAAGGGCTCCAAACCTACTTTCAGAGAAAGCACTACTGTATTCACGAATTACATCTGAATTCTCCTTAACGGGGCTATTAGATCGATCTGCAACATTCACAAAACAAACATTAGCAAGTCCACTCAAATTCAGTCAAATAGAAAGCATGCATGAAAATACCCAGAGCAGGTTTGCGAGCATCCAAATCCTAATAGATAAGTTTAGCCAAAACTTGTAGTAAAGAATTTACATACATCTGGAGTGAAATCCCTCCTCGAAACGTCTGAAATTAATTCCAGCGTCATTCTCCATAAGATTGAGAACTACATTATTCCCATGATCTGAAGAACAGGTGACATCTTCTTCAAAACTAGATGCTGTACTACAGCTAGGCATCTCAAAGTGGGATACTCCAACCTTCTCCATGCAGCCAACCTCTTGGCCTATTGAAAACCAATCCTTAAAACTCGCAGATAAGGTATGAGCAGGAGAAGGAATTTGCACCTGCTGATCTAGATTCTCGTCGCATATGAATGAACCACTTGAACCCATTGTTTTTGAATCTGAACCATCTGAGTTGTATGATAGGTGGTCAATCTCCAAACAAGGAGTCACATCAAGCACCTGAGATCGTAAACAAAAACCCAAAAAGAAACAAGAAAAATGTAAGTTCCCAATAAATCACATATGTGATCTCCTAACATTTAACCGTGCATAAAAATTTTGCTACAAAATTTTTTTCCTAACATAAACCTACCATTTGGAGACAGGGTTTCTTTAAGGTTGCCAGCATATGGAGCTGAATCACCTTCAAAAGACAAATTGTTTGGTGGCTGATCTTCTTGACTCCCCTGCAAGATTAAGATAATTAGTTCAGCATCCAATGGCTGAATGCTCATTGAAAAGCCCTTTAGGAAAACATGTTGAAAAGCATGCATGATTTTGCTTTAAAATAGAAATGCAGAGAAAGGCAAGATGCAAAAGGAAACGATAATCATGCCTAGATCTTTATCCCCTTCAGGCTTGTTTCTTAATTTAACAATTGCAGGGTACTTTTTCACTTATGTACTTTGAGAGCTAGCAACAGAGTTCTGAGAGCACACTCAAAAATATACTTCTATATATACACGTATATTACTCTTTAACTGTTAGTTCACTCAAATGCTTCATTATCTACACTTATTAAGCTCGGTATCTCACTTTATTCCTCCTCTACTACTCTCCAAGGCCAAATGCACACATCATATTCTTTGCCAAATGTTCCCCATTTTTTTTTTCCTAAATTAACTAATTTCAGGCGATCATTTACTGAAATTTTTCAAAATCAACAGAATTACGATTCCGTATGTATGTTAGCCATTATAGGCATCCACCAATAACCAATCTCCGAACTCATCTCCTCGGGAAAAAAGGGGAAGAGAAAGCAGTATTGGGCCATAAAAACATGAACTTAAAATCACATCAAATGATCCAACCAGTTAAAAGTTGCAGTACAAGTTGAATTTTACTCAGTCAAGTATACACCATGCAACGTAAAGCCAGATAATCAATTCCACCCCAAGACTCCACAGAATTCAACGACATTAGCCTTCCCGGCTCACGCAGCCCCGTTCGATAACACACAACTAGTACCAAACCTACCTGGGTGGGGTCAGAATTGTCGTCCAAAATCTTAATCAACGCATCGAGATCAATCATGAGATGTTCACCGTCTTCCAGTTCCTCACCACTGCCGCCTCCATCGTCTCCAGCGACAACCGGGGAGTCCCCGTGCCCGTAAAACCGATCTTCCATCGTCAACATCACGTCCCTAACCAAAAGATAGAAACCCTAAGCAAAAACCCTAACCCCAAACTCCCGGTATAAGTCTCCAAACGATCAGAACCCGAGAAATCCGAAACCTCTGATCCAAAAAAAATCCAAATCTGGGTCTCTCCAAGAAAATCAAGAAAATTAAAAAAGAAACCGACAGGCGAAGAATTCCAAAGAGAGAAGAGGGAAGTTTCTAAGAAAGTTCGGGTCAGTCTTGTTTGAGATGCGACTTTTCTTGCTTGAGTTCACAAATTCTCGGTCTTTAAAAAAAAAAGAAAGAAAATTACAAAAAAAAAAATAGCAGAAGAAACAAAAAACGGAAATTTGAAAAAGAACAAAAAATGAAACAGAGGAAGGGTTCGATGGTAGAAGACGAAGAGGAATCGTGAAGAATCAGGGGTGCCTGTATTTTCACGAGAAATTTCCTTTTTTAATTGAAAGGAGGAGGAGGGAAAGTGAATGGGCAGGTAGCTTTTGCGGCTTGGTTGGTTGGTTGGTTGGTTACGTAGAAAATTTCAAGCTGTGTTTTGTCGTTTTCAAACTTGGAGTCAGCTCTGGATTTTATGAATTTTCTTTTTTTTTTTTTATTTAATGAAGTTTTAGAAAAATTTAATTCAACTTAAAAACAAAAAGAGATTAATTTGCCACGTCATATATTATATATTTTCTTTACAAACAAAATCATCATATATTAGAGAAAACATATGAATCTATCTTATTTAAATTTATCATATATGTTTACACATAATTATAATGTATAAAAGTCGAACTAAGCTTTAATTTCTTTAAAAATTCAAACGTAAAAGCGTGAGCAACAAAGAGAAAACAAAAAAAAAATCGAGCACACTAATCGAAATCTTGAACTTAATTTTTTTTAAGATAATTCTTAGTTTGACTTAGTTACTTAAAGAATTATTAAGTTCGCCTAAAATTAAACTATCTTAAATTCATATTTCATATAATTTTTATAATAAATTATTACTAAAATATTACACTTTTTATAATTAATATAAAAGTAACCTTGTAATAAGATAAACTGTGAGTAAGAAAAGTATAAAAAAAATAAATTGGATAGTTCCGTACAGTACAATCATACAATCAATAACGCAATAAAATAGTATTATAAAAATAAAACGATATTATTTTATATTATATTCGTACAATTTCAAAAGTATAATAAACTCAGTAATAATGCAAAAAAAAGTAAAATATTTATAGTTATAGTATGCAATCTTAAAATGTCAAATAAAATCAATATTATAAAGTAAATAATAAATATAAAAAAAATAACTAAACAAAAGTTAAATAAGAACTAATGTAATAAAAAGATATAAATATGTGGAAAAAAAATAAAATGAAGACATAAAAAGAAAGAATAAAACCTAGTTTTAGTAGAGATTATGTTTCAACGTTAAAAGAACGTAGATCGCCCACTTTGATCATCATATACAAATAAGAAAAAATAATAAAAATAAGACAAATAAATGATTGAATAAATATGAGAACTAATAAAAAAAAGGGTATAAAATGAGAAGTTGATAAGAAAAAAATAAATTAAATACTTAAAAAGAGAAGTTAGAATTAGCTATTCGTAGATACCGTATTTAAGTTCACGTGTTGACTTACAACTTTAATAGATATTTTATAAGGTTAAATTAAAAAATTAAAATGTAATAAATAAGCAAATATACGTAAAAATAAATGAATGATAAGGTAATAAATATAAGAATAGACTTATAATTGTATAGAAATCATGTTTAAATATTATAATACGTAAAAATAAATGAATAATGAGGTAATAAATATAAGAATGGACTTATAATTGTATAGAAATCATGTTTAAAATATTATAAGCATCAGTCTTTTTAATAAAATACTTTTTGTCAGAATTAAAATAAAATAAAATAGCAAAATAAAAAATAAAAAAATATAGTAGAAAAAATAATGCATAAATTAAAATAGAAGAGATGACAAAGTTTGAAGTATAATAGTTTGTAAGCACTCAGAGAGTTCTCGTCTATGATCTTCATCTTCTTTTAAGTTTTTTTAAGACTTAACTTGCTTTCAATTTCAATTGGAGAAAATTCTTTGATAAAACAAAAATATATTTATTTAAATTTACACAATAATTATTTTAAAAAATTTAATACTAACAAAATTTTATATTTTTTTAAAAGATTCTAAGTAGAAGAGAAAATTGAAAGTAATAGAATTTTTCTATTGTATCCCTATTAATGTTTATGTCTATGTGAAAAAGTGAGAATATATAGTTAAAAAGAATTATCTTTCAATCAACCATTAATCTCTTAATTATTACAGGTATATTATTATTGAAATAAAAGTTAGAATATGAATATAATATTACAAATTAAACATTATAAATAACTATCAAATATATTACCATCGTAGTAATTTGTATGTACTTAAATAAATAGCTCAATATCATTTAATATGATTCAATGGGTAAAAACACGACCTATAAGTAGTGCATAAGTTGGTGCATTTATAGAAGCGCATGCTATGGGGCTTATGTTGAACCCCTTAACTTTTTTCTCTTATTTGATATTTCTTATAATGTTCTATCTTATGTAATCTAATCAGTGTTATTTTTTTAAAACTTTTAATTTTCTATCATTAAACATATTTTATTACAAGGTTTATTGATATTACCGTTATCAATTTTAATTCAAATAATATGTAAAAGTTAATATTTACAATAATATTGTGACAACTGATACTTAGTAAATAAGACATGTCAACCAAATCAGTTATTGGCAATAACTAATCATAAAAATTGCTTCTAAAGATTTTGTTATAAGGATATTGTTGTTGATACTGACACTATCGTTTAGTAGACCAACGTTATTTTATATTATAAACATGTGATTATTATTAGATGTTACAACTACATGTTGTTAATACATCAACTTATTTTTTTTAACTTTCAACATCAAGAAATGAGTACGTATTATGTAGTTAAGATAAAGTTCAAATGCATTTTTCACTCTCACTTTCGTATTATTTGAATTTGTATTTTTTTTGTTGATTACAGCATCTAATTTATTGATTATATCATTTTATATAACATGAGCACACATGACCATCTCATTTGCCTCCAAATTTAAACTAACACACTTCTTCAACATAAAATTTTTACCGAGTTACTCTAATAAATTTCAAATTTATTTTTTAACATCATTCATAACATAAAAAATAAACTTTAGTCATATTTAGAATACGATAGCATTAAAAGAACTCATAATATGTTAATAAGATTACAATAATTAAATTATGTCTCGTCTCAGTAAGTATTTATAATCTAAATATAAAGAATATTTTATAACTATTATATTTTTTTAATTAAAGTAACCACAATAATTATTTAAATTTTTGTCTATATTTTAATTTTCTTTTTCACTCAATCTTCCACCTATCGTCACTAGTTCGTTCTTTCTTTATCGATAAGTAGTGACAATAGTTTAACACCGAACTAGCCTTAAAAGAAAATGGAGTCACATTTTTTCCAACTTAATTCTCAAATCATAACATTTGATAAGCAAACCTCTGTAAATGACATAAATAAATAGAAAACAAAAAACCTAAAGTCTTCCCTCCCGCTATCCCCCTTTCTCTCTCTCGTTAGTTCTCCTAGACCACAATCCCCTTTCTCCGTCTTTCTCTTCTGTTTACTTCCTTCAGTGACCGCTGTCCGTTCGTGACGGAGCAGGGCTTCGTGTAGGTTCGGCCGTCGGCTCGTGCGGCTGCAACCGAGATCTTCTTTTGTTCTTCTGTCTACACCCCGAGGTTGATCCAGCCACCCGTCTGTCTGCCGCGCATTCTTGCAGTTGCACCTCGAAGGGCATCGGACCGCCGTCGTGTAGCTCCAAAACAAGTGGTTGCCGTGCCGTGCGACGACGATCGTGCTCCCTCGCTTACATCTCGATCTGGAAAAACAGACTCTATCCTCTTGGAACTTGGATATTGCGAGTTGTGTGACCTGGACTTTATAGATATAGATCTTGGAAGTAGAATATCCGAAACAATCTCAAGGGTATCATCTCTAAACCTC